CAGGTTGCCCAGAGAGGTGGTGGAGTCTCCTTCGCTGGAGATATTCAAAACCCGTCTGGATGTGATCCTGGGCAAGATGCTCTAGGTGACCCTGCTTGAGCAGGGAGGTTGGACTAGATGATCTCCAGAGGTCCCTTCCAACCTAAACGATTCTGTGATTCTGTGATGTACTGGAGCGAGTCCAGAAAAGGGACATAAGGATGATTAAGGTGCTGGAACATCTCTCATATGAGAAAAGGCTGAGAGAGCTGACTTGTTTAGCCTGGAGAAGAGAACACTCAGGAGGAATCTTATCAATGCTTATAAATATCTGATGGGAGAGTGTGGAAAAGATGGGGCCAGACTCTTCTCCGTGGTGCCCAGCGACAGGACAAGAGGCAATGGGCACAAACTGAAACACAGGAACTTCCACCTGAACTTAAGAAAACAATTCTTCGCTGTGAAGGTAGCCAAACACTGGAACAGGTTGCCCAGAGAGGTTGTGGAGTTTCCATCCTTGGAGATATTCAAAACCCGACTGGACACGGCCAGGGCAACCTGTTCTAGCTGAGTATGCCTGAGCAGGGGCTTTGGACCAGAGGCCCAGAGGTCCTTTCCAAACTCAACTATTCAGTGATTCTGTGATTCCTGAAGATTAAGCTGAAGATGGGACTGACCAGTTCACAAAGTCCAAATAAAGCAGAGAACAATAAGATTATACTTGAAGAAAACAGGAGACAGGACGAAGCACAGTTAGGAGACTGGTCAAAGTACTGTTTATCCCTATATATTCCTATACGGTTAAGAAGAAGTAAATAAGGACCTGGTATGTTCTGCACTAAATATAAAAGAGATTGAGACATGAATCCCTACAGCAACAAGGGCAAAAAGAAATTTCATCTGATTACCAACTTATCAGGCACATTTATGAACAAGATGACATACCACCAATGGCAGACTCCAGCATACATACCATTGAAAGCATTACAAATTTAGATGGAAAATATTCTTAAAACTGGGGAATATCTCCTTGGTAAACCAAGTGGCTTTCCTCAGAAAAAGATGAAAGGAAACAATCAACACCTGAAAAGGACCTTACTTTCTAGCAAGTCCTGTAAGAATTCTTTACAATTGCTTACACATGAAAATAAGGCTACACACTGACTTACAGACAGCACCAAGAAACTAATGGATGGTTAAGACAGCTTTGTTCTGTGTGCCTAGCTGACACCAATGATAAAAAAGGTCAGTCTTGAGTGTCCTGGGCTCACACGCACAGTAACAGTACTAGTGTGTTTATTATGTGTACAAACATAGAATGAGCACTTAAAAAGAATTAGTCTTTAAATATTTTAGATACCGTAAACTCTTACCATATAAATTATGCCTATATGCAATATATATCAAGCCTCTCACTGGAAAAAATAAGTAATCATAAAAAGAAATTGTGTTTCTCATACATGCCTAACAGTCTGCAAGAACCAATTCTGACATGTTATAACCTTTGCCAGGTGTGGGATGGTTACTGTCCAACAGCTCTAACACATGACTTCCACCAACGTGACTCTTGAGATGTCAATTCCTGACCCTCATTTGCCTCCTTCTTCTGCAGTCATGTGCCTGCCTCAGGTGAGCATTTCCATTCTGCAGGCTGCTACGTTTTACTGGTGTTTAACTATTGAAAAACATATCCCAGTCACAAATACCAAATGCTGCTACCAGCAGCAAACTCCATAGTTGCAATTAGTTCAGTTTTTCTCATAAAGTGCTGGTAGCAGGATCACAGAGCGAGAAGCATTGTGTTTGCGCAGCACGCTTGCTCAATTGGAGATAATGGTCCTAGAGCATTATCTGTGGCTCATCAAAGCTAGAAATACCAAGGTAGGTCCCTTCATGCTACACCACAGTATAACATAGATCTTAAAAAGCCCAACAATGCTAATATGTAGCATTTTTATAGCAACTTTTCATAGATAAATATGAATCATTTCAAAGAAGTTCTTGTGCTCCCCATTTTATTGAAAAAGAAACACAGAGGTTATTGAGTAGCAGCAAATCCTAGATCTCTTGATTCTTACAGTATACTTGTTAGAAAATCCTGTGTACTGGACTTCTAGACACTACTTGAGTAATTTTGATTCCTAAAAGGCTGATAAGTATTAAAGATATTAACAGATGCTTATTTAAGTAAGTGCAAGATGTGAACTTAAAAAAACCCAGCCATTTCTGATGAATCCTTTGCACGGTTCTCTCATCCTGGATTATTTATACTGTATTCTGAATAAGTTATTCAGGAAAAGTCTGTCTACACAGACAGACTAACTCTTGGATTAGATTTACAACACTAATAGACAAATTTCACCTAATTCAAATAATTGGGTTTTTTTTAATGCCATGGGCTGAAATGCAAAGCAATGCTTCTTGTTACTTCCGTGCGTTCATTGATGGGGTAGACATGCACAGTTATAAATAGCAATCATTCCTCCTGAGTTGAGTAATACAGGAGAGGAAATTACTGAGAGAAAACTACTGGCTCACCTGTAGATGATGTTGAGCATGCTGTGCTCACAGTCGTTAGTGCTGTAAACACTCAGTTTGTCCAACAGGTCCAGGAGGTGCGTTGAGAAATTGCTATCAAATTTGTTGATAGTTGCCTCAAAGCCAGACGTCAGGTGGAGGTTGTCGGCATGCTCTGCTAAAAGCTGTTAAAAGAAAGTAAGAGTGGCCCCATGTGTTGATTCACAGTTGCCAGAGAGATGCAATAATTCCTCCTCTTTTTCCAGACCTGCACAAAAATACTGCCATAAAACTTGACAATTGTTTAGCCACGAAATACATTTTTCGAAACAACTGCAAGGTCCTGGGCAGTTAAAAGCCTTGCCCTGCCTATCTGGGAGAACCCCAAAAAGTACATCCTAGCAGAGTGGAGTTATCTTTATATATATGCTGCTGTTGCTTGTTTTCAAGCAGTAGGAAAAGTTAGCAAAGAGAAAGAGAGTGTCCCCTAAAGCAGGCTGTAACCTCTGGAGTACCCTGATTGCCTGGCTGCGGGATTGCCCCAGAGGCTGTCTGACAAAGTGGAGAATGAGGCTCCAGCAAATAGGAGGCAGCCTACTAACAGCAAAGCACACAAAACAATTTGCTTATTAAGTACACATCTAGAGAGGGGAAAATATGAGCAAGGCAAATTGTCCAGTCATGAAAGGGATAGTCTGGAAGGAGTCATAGTCTGCTGCTAATTGGCTCACCCATCATAAAACATTAGGGAAATTGGAAAGTTCTTGAGTCGCAGAAAGCCTATGTGTAGATACCCATCGCATAGCTGAAAATACTGCTAAGAACTTAAAAATGAGAGCAATGAGTGCTTTGGAAGAGAGGGTCTTAAAAGCAGACTTTTGAGAGTAGCATCAGCTCTACACTGCCCTCAAAAATTGTCCACGACTCTGTAAAGATACTGCTTTTGGGGCCAGAGGTGCCCTGGAGACCAGATAGGTCAGTCCCTAGGAGGTAAAACAGCCATCCCGACCAGACTGAAACCCCAGGCAACATTCAGAAAAGAAAGGGCCCAGCCGTCCACCCAGTGTGGCACCTTGCTAGTCAGCTTCTTCTTTGCAGTCTCTTCAGCACGCTCCTCCTCTGTCGGTGGGCCCAGCATTGTGCCATGCTCTAAGGTGAGCCGGTCCATTTCATTATCCAGCTTCATGCTCTGGGTGAACCTCTAGGAACAGCAGTGGGTGGGAAAATCAGAGCCCATTTTTATCATTATGACAAAGCAAGAGACTGACTTGATTCTGCTGGCCCTGCAATGAGCTAATCACCACGAAAGCTAATTCTGAGATTAGATTTAAAATGTTAATAGACAAACCTCACTTAACCCAATGGAACGTTTGGCTATGGGCTCCCTGAGACACTGATTAGAGCCTGACAAAGGAGATCGGTCTCCACGAGTCCTACCAGTCCTAACCTGGTCCTCACAAGATCATGCCAAAAACTAAAGGCCCTACAACTCACACCTCAAATTCTGCTGCAGGACTGGCTGAAGTTCATCTGAACCTGATCCCAACACTGACAAAGTGGCGCCTAGAAGAGGAGATGCCTCAAAAAACACTTTGGAGAAAGGGTGTGGATCTAAGTGGTCAAGCTCATAATTCCTGTTGGCTGAATCACAGAATGGCTGAGGTTGGAAGGGACCTCTGGAGATCATCTAGTCCAACCCCCCGGCTCAAGCAGGGTCACCCAGGATTGCGTCTGGACAGCTTTTGAACATCTCCAGGGCTGGAGACTCTACAACCTCTCTGGGTAACCTATTCCAGTGCTCAGTCACCCTCATACCTCCACAGAAGCTCTTCCAAGTGTATTGAGGACAAGAGGTGTCAATCTGAAAGAAGGGACAGTCAGAAGGGCATTACTGCAGAAAAATACGGGGATGCTGTACACACCTGCATACAGTTTGTGAACATGACACAGACAGACATCAGCTTGGAGAAGATCTTCAGCAGCTCTGGGTTGGTTAGCATGCAGTCCTTCAGGCAGTTATCCAGGAAGCTTGTGTGGTGGCTCAAGACATCATCAATATTAGAAGCCTGTTACAGGATAACACAACAATGCAAAACGGACACACAGGGGCTGCTGTGCTGTACTGGACCAAAGCTCTAACCCAGCATTCTGTCCCTGACAGCGACCTGCAGGAGATGCCCTAGGGCATGTAGAGGTACTTCTTATACACCTTCCAGCTTCCAGAAACCTCCTGAGCTGGAAACTGTATTTGCATTACTGTATTCAACAGCCTTTCACAGGCTTTTCATCTTTGATTTGTCACATCACCTTTTCAATCAAATTACTTCAAACATCCAAACCTTCCCTTGGCAATGAGGCTCAGAATAGAGTTACCTGTTTTATGATCATTTGGCTTTAAATCTGCTCGTCATGCCCACTCCCTGAAGCCCACCTATCATCATCTTTTTGATCTCAGTAAAGTCAGGTACAACGAATGGAAAAGAGGAAATGAAATCAGAGAACCTGAAAGGTCGGTACGTTTACAGGGCTTAAAACATGCAAGTTAACAAAATGAAGAATTGGGAAATGTTACTTTTGAAGGGTCCTGTAAAATTTTAGTCCATCTCTGTCACTTCAATGGACTGTTTCAGTCCTAAGTTTTAAACAAGGTTAGATAAAAAAATCCTCCCACTCTATAATTTTGTGGGATGTGCACAGGCTGAGAGTACAAGTCAAGCTTAGGAAAGAGCCATAGGACTAAAATTCCCAAGGCTCGGCTTCATCAGGAACAGTGATCAAACAAACAAACATACATAACTTTCCAACAAGGAGTACAGAACAGGGATAAATGCTGCTCTCGATGTGATGAAGACAGTAGTTGTGCTGATGAAGGCAAAGATGTTGTGAAGATGAAGATACTAGTTGTATTTTTAGAAAGAGGGCAGCACAGCTTCAAGTGGAAGTTCACAAGAAAGAACTCTCACAAAGGAAAAAGTGGCATAAGGCACTGCATCACACTGGTAAGGATCATCCTTTTCTGTCCTAAAATGTAAATGAGTGGAAAAACTACCCCAGTCCATTGCCTAAGGAGGGTAAAGAGCCAGTTCTGCATGCTCTGTTTGTGAAGAAATGATGCTTTTATTTAAATCAAGGAAGATTTCAGCCAGAAGCTGTGGATATCTCACCCCTGCTGAGCAGTTTTAAAACACTGTGCAAAAAAGTGATTGCTGAAACAGACAGTTGACTTAGCTGGCAGTGCTGAGATGTTCACTTTGTGGGTTACTATATCGCAACATTGCCTGTGGTTAGACTTCTCCTGTTACAGCCCTGGTAGAGGGCATGCTCCAGGTCCTCCTTCCCAGAGATTTAAAAGCCCTGAAGGATTCTAAGGAGGACGGGAACCAAACATACATTTGGAGTATGTCTTAAAGAACTTTGCTCACTTGCAAAAAAACTTCCTCTGTTTGAAGTGACAACTTGTATGCATATTCATACTACGGGCAGCTTGGAATCAGTACTACTATATTATTACCTAGAGCACCCCTTCATGTACAGAACATGACAGAAATACTCTACCAAAGATTGCAGCAATCCTCGAGGCTTCAGAAATGAGGAAGCGTCTGGTGAAGACATGGACAGACCTCCCCCTGGCCACACAACAGAGGGCAGCAATGGAAACATCTTTCCCCAGTGCCAGCAAAGTCACTTTGCACTTGCTATCTCAACATCTCTGCCAGGTTAAAGATGCCGGAGCTCACAGCTGTTATACAGGAAGGGAAAACTCTGCCTGCTTGGGTTATCTGAAATGTTTAGTTTGCAGAGGTTGCTTGGGAATGGGCTTCTCTGAGGCCTCTGAGAGAAAGCACAAATTGAAGACTTGCTTCTTGGAGCTGAAAGGATAATGCTCCAAGAGGGTCGGGTGGCCTCTATGCCTCTGAAGGAGCACAGTGACTCAATGGTAAAGAGGCTAGAAAGAGAGGAACCTTTAGAAGAAAGTCTTTGCAAAAAGAAAAACAATCTAGAAAAAAAACAGAACCAGGGGATGGTCTCTTCTGAACAGAGGATGAAAGTATTATACGTTGGGACCATACAGGAACAAGGGGAGACAGATGCTATGTCACATGGAGCAGACAGCCTACATCTAGGGCAAAAGGTACCTTCTGAAGAAGTCACTGATGTGGACTAGTGAACTAGGAACAGTCTGTTATACACCCAGGAAAACCCACAGCTCAGAACACTCCATCTCCATGAAAGGGATCAAAATGGTTACCAGACATATTTTGTCCAGTTACATCCTTGTCAGGCACAAAAAGCAGTGGGAAGTGAGCTTAGCCTCTCCCAAACACTGCAAGAGCAGAAAAGCTCTCCCGCCTTTCCCACCTGCAGCAGGGACCCACATTTGGACTAGTCACCCTAAGAAGTAAGATTTTTGTTCCACCACACACTCACCAATTTCAGGTTCTTCTCAAGAATGTGCCATGTTGGCTCCATCACTTCAAACATCATGTAATACTGAATATTCTGTACAAAATTCAGCATCCGCTGCCGCAGTGTGAAAGCACCAGCAAACCTAGGGGAGATATTACACCCACACAACTCAGGGATAGCAAATGCCACTGAGAACTATCACCAAACTTACACAGTGAAGCAAAGCACAGCTAAATATTTCTGTCCTAGCAAATTCACGGCTGCAGTGTGAGAGGGACTGTAAATTTAATGCAAACCATCGCTGATTATTTTCAATATATTTAAATGGCTTTCCCTCAATTACTAGGTTAAGCTTTCCAAACCTGTTGTGCAGGGGACAATTATTTTGAATGTTTGCTTATACTCAACTACAAATGGACAGTATTAAAGCCATTTTACTAGTGTAATTATTTAGTGAGACATATATTTGTTAACAGGACAAAATATAACACGATAAATGGTTCGTGTTTCTTTCTGGGTTATAAGCATTTACTTGTTAAATGAACACTTTAAAAGATTCTGTTTATTGCATCAATACATTCTGGGGATCCAAATAATTTAATCAAACCATCTGCTATCTAGGGAATGTAATACCATTTCCCATTTAAAATCAAATGGTGGGATTAAATAAGAAACTCTTTCAACGATAGTTGGTTTAGGCTCTGTGAAACCAGATTGAAACCTGACATCGACAAACTGGTACAGGTCACCAGGGAGCAGGGGGATCTCCACCCTAGAAACTTTTCAAGACTCAGCTAGACAAAACCATGACCGCCCTGACTTAGTGCTCGCGACAGTCCTACTGTGAGCAGGAAGTTGGACTGGGGACCCCCAAAAGTCCCATCCACTAACACCTCTACAATTACAGGAGAATCAGCACTAAGGCCATGTTTTATGAGGTCAGCACCAAGGCAGCTGAAACTACCACATGACAAGAAAGTGCCAGCGGTGAGGCAGAAGGTACTGCTTTGCAGTACTGGGAGACCTGTCTCGCTCTTCACACTAGCATCTACAGCACCTGGGGTACAGATCCAAAGATGAAAATCCACCCTCACAGATGGAACAAGATAGAAGGATTCTCTAGGAAAACAGCCCACCAACTTTACCTTATTCAACTTTTATCAGATCAAAACCCCTTAACATTAGCCAAATTGTGTGCTGGTCACCAGTTCTTGCTAGCAGCATCATTACAGTCTGGTCAAAAGAGAAGGGTGTTGCTCTTAAACTAGCGGGGTCCTTACTAATCTTGCTCATGCTAAAGTACTGAGCAAGATGATGCATGCACAGATGTCCTCTGCTGTAACTGTTCAGCGTATAACGAGCTAGTCCTAAAGACCATCTCTTCCTTTTTGAAACTTTGTGCCAATAAAGAGGAACAAGCCAAGCAGCACAAAGATTCATCAAGCAGATGCTTTGTACTTAAATCTGAAAGGTTATATAAAAGTTGTACATCTCAGCCTATCAGAAGCATGTAATGATCGGTTTCACATGAAAATGATTCGATTCATGTCACGATCTATCTATCTAGTAGCAAGGAAAACCAAAGCTTGAAAAATGATCCAGCAGGAAAAAAGGCCATACCACTTAGCTGAATGCAGGGAGAATTGCTTGGCAGTCTTATTGCTGATCCAAACATTGCATAACTGTCTTTCCACATGTTTGCAATAGAACATGTGTCTGAAAAGCATCTGGTATCTTGTTAGTGCTTTCCTGAAAAGAAAGGAGAAAACCATTTCAGACTAAGTCCTGCTCTGATGGACAGGTGAAGCTGTGAAGACTGAGGCTGCTCAAAAGCAAAGAGACTTTGCACAGTGTGTTTCTTACGCCTTCAGACACGCACAGTTCTGCAGTGAAACAATGCAAACCAAAGAAGAAAATCACATTCATAACTGTCCCAAAGAATTCCCCTCCAGGGCATCCCTCCTCCGTATTTCCTGCCACCAAGTACATCACCAGCCTCCATCTCCGATTCTCTTGGGCTACATTTGTAAAAGGTCACTCACACCTGCTTGGAGGGAGGGCTGAAAGCCTGCAGTCATGTCCCCATTGTGCTAAGACTGTTAGGATTGCCTAAACAATTCACCAGGATTCTCCAGAAAGATAAAGAAAAACTGTAACTAAGCTACAGGCAGAGTTACTCTGCCAGCAACGCACAGTCAGAAGCAGATGGGGATGCTTATTTATAGCTGCCGAGACTGGGATCAGGTCTGCATTCAGACACTTCAGCGTAGGTGTCTACAGAGCTCCAGTCAATACAGTTTATGAAACCTCACCATATAGTGTTTTCACTACCATAGTTACCATCAGAGCTAATACACCCATCTTGCTATTAAGAAAGAGACACCGTTTCAAAAGGATCGTGTCATTAGAAAAGTCGCGCAGCGTTGACTGGTTTCTTTAAAGTGAAGTTAAGAGTTAAACTAAGTGTTGGCATTTAACAACTAACATCTGTCACCTTTTTCACATAACACTGCCTGGCTCAGCTGCCCTGGCTCACATTGGCAGGACTGCCAGTGTTTCTCTGGGGAAGCAGGGAGCAAGGCACTGCAGAAAAATGAAACATTCAGTCTCTCATAACTCAATCAAATGAAAAATCGTTTGCTACAGCAATTTGAGCAAAAGCCTGTATCATTCCAGTCTGGGATCAGGGCTGCGAGAAAGTGCATTATTTCTGCCCTCCACATTTGAGAAATGTTTGGCTCTTACATAAATACCCTCTCAAGACAGTTCACTGTCAAGTGACGATGTAACCTAGGGGATATTCACCTAGGTTCAGGGGATATTTCAGAAGGCATGCACAAATGAAAACCAGATAACTCATCACAAGGAAAAGCAGCAATCCGTTTGAGAAAGCATCAACAGATCTATGTCTTCCTACCATTTAAAATGGAAGCCTGAATGCCGTAGACATGGTCTGGTAGGGCTTTACTGAAAGGACGATCCGCAGTCTACAAGAAGAGCAAGTGTAGCTCAACAACCCCAAAGCAATTTCTGCTAATTAGAAACTAATAATGTCACTTGAAAGGTACAGACTTCCCAGTATTTTGGCTTTTGGAAACAGGTTTCAACCTCAGGCAAAAGCTTGGGCTTTGTTTTCCTTCAGCGGGTTGATACATTACCTGTTTATAATAAGGGACAGAGGCCACTTAACAATGTAGTCAAAGGAAAATGCTTCCAGACCACTGAGAGTGAGCTCTGTGGGATCTGCACTAATAATGGCCTTCTCCTGTTTCGTTTCAATGGCCAGAACTCGCAAGAGCTGCGTAATGAGGTCATGGGGCATCAAGTCAATCTGTAAAGAAATGAAGAGCAGGAAAAAATGAAGCCACAGAGTACTTAACAACTACTACAACAGACGTGTGACAGAACAACTGTGCCAACTGCAAATTATCAGAGTCACTCCCAAGTCACCAAATCAACCCAGGAAGCAATAGTGAAAGGTATGCTCTCAATACCACTGCAGTGGAAAGCGTTTAACTGCCAGCATGCGACGTACCACTCAGCTGACTGCTTTCCCTTTCCCTCAGCCTCTATCAGGTCTATTGAGATCTCACATTCCCCCGGCATAGCTTCTGGGCAGCTTCATATCCATAAAATACTGGAGCAGAAGACCATTTTGCTTGGCTTTCAGCTGAGCTGCAGTAATTACTAATGGGCAGGACCTCTAATCAGGTATTTTCTTGTACTCTGAAGAGGATATCCAAGGTGAGAATAAGCATGATGGACACGCTACTGCTTCCATCTCATCCTGATGTCACCCAAAAGCATCTTCTCTGTGTTCAGATATCACCAAGAAAATGCAGCCCCTTGTCCAGCATGTGTGCTTCCAGTTGCTAACCTGGATGAAAAAGCTTACCCAGAGAAGATCTACAGAAGCACGGTCATCAGCTCTGTTTTCTCTCAGTGCACTTTCAGAAAGTTCTTAAAGGCACACAGATTTTCCCAATACATAGCAGGCCTTTTGCTCAAATTCAATTATATTCTGCTTGCACGTACTCTTACCTTTAAATCGTCCTTGAAAGGATCTGTGTTGGCTGTGCTCATTCGCAGGGCTAATTCAAGCAAAGCCTCTAGCCTAGTAGGTATAATGTCGTCTACGGGCTTCTTAAGTTCCTCTTCTGTGAGATCCATGAAGTGAACAAAAAAGTCCCCTTGATCCATCAGGAAATAGTGCTTTATAGATCTGCTCCATAAAATGAAGAGACAATTCATTAAGTATTTAAAGACCAAGTGTATCCATGCATAATACTAAACCTACAGGAACAAAAGCAATCAATCCAGCCAGCCTGCTGGTTTTGATCACAAAATATTCCTCTCTTTACACAAAACACACAGGATAAATAACCCATTTGGATCCTAATCTTTTATACATGCCCCCTCTTCCTCCATAATCTCAAAGTCAGGATGCTTTCGCGCAGTCAGATCAGGGCTGCTGCTGTTCTTTTTTTCCTTTAAAAATGTACCTTAAGAAAAAAAAAAACACGCACTGCACTGCTGAGCAAAGGATCATACTGCTATCCTGAACAATAAAGCAACTCCCAAGGAGCAAAGGTCCACCCAAGAGGCAGTTGCCAGTTCAGAGTAGGATCTTGGTCTCTTGTGAATGAACAAGTATCTGTATTGATTTTTGAAGTATCCCAGGTATCTGTGTTGACTTTTGCTGCAACATGCTGTGTCAACTTCAGTCTTCAGTTGGCATGAAGTAGAGTGAACTGCAGTGGACCAGGAGCTTGAAACAGCTCACAGAAAAGTTGAAGGATGAAAATAGCATCTGGTCAAAGATCACAAATGATACCTGCAGTTTTCAGAGCAAAAATGAGATCAGCGCAGCCATAAAACTAAGTGGTTGCAGACTGCTGATCACTGCTAGGTTGGGATAGCGCTCAGCCCCTCAGTTTCCCTGTCATTACTCTCTTGAACGAAGATAGTTTCCGCAGCCACAAGGAAGTTCTGACAATGTCAGTGGTTAACTGAGGAGAGAAGACAGGCAGGGAAGCAAGATACTTGCTGTGGACACATCCCAAAGCCTCTGGTCACTCAGTGAGAACCTAAATAAAAACCTGATCTAGTAGTGTTGGCAATAATCACATTTCAAGCAGGAGATCAAACTAGAGACCTGCAAAGACCCCTTCCAACCAAGATTTCTGTGATGGTGTGAAATAGGTATTGAAGGGAGAGAGTCAATACTCTCATTTTACTGATCAGAAGTGGTTATCTGTCACATTTCTCTGTGATTTCATCACAGCCATACCATCTCAATCTTCAAAACTCACTGGAAGCTCAACCAGCTGCTGCCCCCCAACAGACGATATATATATATAGGACAGCTGCTGAAAGATCCAGCAGAGAAGCCTATTTCTAAGGTAAGGAGGTCATAGACATCAATCCCAGCTGGAGAGGCTGAGCAACAGCTTAAGCTGAAACTATACTGTGCTACCCACGCCCAGCAGAGGGCAGACGCTGTTAGAACTTGGAAACCAGTATCCTTTCAATAGTCCTATTAAAGGAAAGGGTGTTTGGAGAGATGACAGATACAGGCTACATAGAATCTTCTTAATGATTGGCATGTCTCAGGTGGCTTTCATGACCTGTTATGAAACAGGACATGTCTGGTGGCTTGCACAGGCTAGGAAGGCAGGTATCAGTTTCAAAGGAGTGAAACACGGATCTTCAGATTTTCCCACAGCCTCTATTCAACTCCTCCATTCAGCCTGTTATCCCACTAGCTCAGCTGGAACTACTGTGTTCCCAGTTTTGGAGCAGATACTTCTGTTGTGGCTACAACTTCTTCAGGCCTAGCAAAAAGCAGGCCCAAAGCCACCTCGCTCGGCCTGCTAGCCACATTCACTTCAGTTGCCATTACTGTTACAGCTTATGTCTCCCAACAGGCATCTTCTCTTGCAAGTTCCTTAGAAAGTTTGTTCCATGAAGCTCAGATCACTTTCTTTCACACCGTGTGTGACTGGTTTGAAGCAGAATCTCTAGTACCAGGTCACAGCCCACTTGCAAACTACCTTATAGACAGCTATCAATTGCAATTTTCTACCTATTTGCTGCTGTCTTGGTGTTCTGGATATTTAGGTTCCCTTTTTTTTACCATTTTCTGAAGATAATAACAAACTAAAAGCTTGATTTACATAGGGAAACTGATGTCCCTTTCACCCAATATTTCTATGATTCTACACTATTTTTTTCCTCAGCAAAAAAACCAAACCTTATTTTTTGCCGGCCAACATTTCTAATGGAAACGGAGATAACTCAATAATAATATCCCATGGAGAAAAAAGCTAACTTTAAAATCTTATGTTCACTATTAGAACCTAACTATTAAACATAAATTTAGTAACATAAATCAAACCTCAGGTGAGCCACCAGCTCTTTCTCCTCCATTAGGAAATCCAGAAGAACTTTGCTAGCATAGTTATATGCTTTTTCTATTTGTTCCACATACGCTCTCTCTTTTAAAGTATAGATGACCTCTTTAGCCACAGGGCAGGTAACATCACGTCCACATTCTCGCACAACATTTAAATATTTCCCTAGAAGCAAAAAGAAAGAATGACCCATATTCATACCAACTGCATACCAACGGCGCATCTCTCCGACAGGAAAACTTTCAGTTCACTGTTTTCAAGCAGAAGAGATATTTAGAAATGTTTACAGTAAGTTGTACCGAAAGCTGGAAAGGATTTAGATGTCTTTTAAGAAAAGATGGGATTTTAACTTACGCTCCTAAAGTCAGGCTTAAAGAGTCATTTAGAAATGGTTTTGTTTCCAGGGGGGGTAAAACACCTTTGCAGCTATCTGGAAACTTCAAAAATCCGGTAGCATTTCAGAAGCAGCTACCCGATAGTACTTTTGACAAATAAAAATGGTAACCATCAGGTGGCATGTTTCATTCAAGTGTCCAAATTAAAACTCAGCATGTTCAAACATCAGTCACGCAGCTCCATCTAGCTAGCTGTACCCATGAAACACAGAGCAGTAACACATAAAGTTCTCCTTCCTGTTGGACTCCTTTCCCACATTTTGTTTTACTTACAGGATTTGGTTTTTCTTTTAATCTGATTTTTCTGTTCTCCTGAGAAGTTGCAGCTGGACAACCCCATAAATTGGCAAACAACGATAACATTTGCCGAGTCTTTACATAAAGAATGACAACACTTACCTCAGATTGTTCTTACATCAGAAACATATTTTCACCTACCTGTGCTTAGGATTTTGTCCGCCATCTTCTGCAAGAATGAGGGAATCTGTTGCTGAACAACAGTATATCTTTGATCCCAATACTTGTCATTATAGTCTTCCTGAATCTTCTCTTTCTGCAACTCATGTTCTTCCACCATGAACTCACTGAACAGTTAAAGCATGTGTTGAGAGGCAGGAATTGGTACAATGAGGATTACTTTTAACCTGTCAACTGGTAATATGATCTATCAGAAATAAGGTTTCAAGAAGATACATTCAAACTGAAATTAGCCTGTCTTTGTAGTAACAGGAGAAGTATTATTCAATGTTTGTGTTAATCTGCAATCCATCACTACAGAATTTTATAGGGCCCGCAAACCAAGTCTAAATATCCAGCTGTCAGCGCACAGGTGAGGAAGATGGCCTTTCTTTGCCTTCTCTCCATCAGGAGGGAATTCTTTCTAACTATTTTAACTTCAGTTTCCTCCCCCTGCATAGGGTTCTGAAAATGGGGGAAACAGAAATGCTGCATAATCTATTAAACACAGAAAAATGCTTTAAATTATTCTATAAAAATGAAGAAACTCTTTCAGAGAGTGTCATTAGTTCCTATCAGATTATTCTGTTAGTGGATTACATTTAGCATAGAGCCAGAGAGTTAGTGCACTCATGCTCTATGAGAACAGGTCTCACTTCCGTCCTGACACGGATGAGGATGTTAGAGGGGCATGCACATAAAGCATGGGAAGGTGGAATTGGAGTGGATTAGGTATCTGAACAGTTGTGTTTTGGACTTTTGCATATAATTTCCTTTAATTTGGACAAATAAAGCAAGTGACAACACCTCTGAATGTATGACCAATGAGTCAAATAAGAAAGGCAGTTAAGCACGCTCCAACAGCTCCCCTTCCTGGCAACGTTGCTTCACCTATATACTGCTGGCTAGTCCAGGCCTGCTAGGCTATGCAGATTCTACAGAGGATATGTACACTAAAGAGTTTAAGCCAAAACGAAAAATAAATCCTTAACTGTTCTTTACCTGTATGGATCATTAATGATGCCTCGATATATCCACTTTTCCAAAATTTCAAAATAAGGCACGCTGGCTGCCTTGGTTAAGTACAGACACAGCTCCTGGGCCTGGCTGTCTCCCGTGTAATTGAAAGTCTTGTCATGGAGTAAGCTCAGAGTTGATCCTCCCATACACTCACCTTTATCCACAGAAGTAGCTAAAATTTAAAAATATAGATGTATTTTAGAGCTCTTCATTTAAACGCATAGATTAATCGCACAGGCTATGCAGGTAAAAGTAATGAAGCTAGCAGTTGATTAGCTGACCACCTTATGTCACAAATTTTGAAGTCAGCTGTAGATCCCTCCCGTAGGGAGAGCACACTGTGATGAAGGTACAAGGCCATTCCACTACACAAACATCCTGAAACATCCTGAAATGAAAATTGAAATGATCCACAATGTATTCACCTCTACTCAGCACTGGTGAGACTGCTCTTGGAACACTGTGTTCAGTTTGGGAACCCCAATACAAAAGAGACGTTGTCAGAATGGAGAGAGTTCAGCAGAGGCTACTTAAGATGTGGGGCTGGTGTCCAGGGAATACAAGCACAGCCGGAGGGAGCTGGGCTTGTTAGCCGTGAGAAAAAAAAGTGAAGCAGAGGGGTATCTAATAGCATTCTTCTGCCATCTAATGGATGGTTCTAGAGAAGATGGTATGAGACTCCTCTTGGAGGAGCACAATGCAAGATAGGGTACAAGATGCAAGAGGCAAAAGTTACAAGGGAAACTCCAGTTGGAGATAAAGGAAAAAACCTCACAACAAGGGTGGTGAAGCCATGGGGCAGGGCCCAGAGTGGTGGCCTTGAGGATTGCTCAGGCTCACCTGGACACGGCCCTGAGCAAACTGCAGTAGATGCAGTGTTGGCTCTGCTGTGATCAAGGAGTTCAACTAGAGGCTTCCAGATTTTCCTTCTACTTGAATCTTTTTTCAATCATACATCCACACACAGCTGGAGATGCATTTGGAAAGAAGCTGAGCAGAGGTAGCAGCAGCAGAAATAACTGATCTGAAAGGCCTGGACTGAGAAGGTGAAAAGGACAGACTTTCCTCATGACAAGGGGTTGAAGGACAAATTCATCCCTAGAAAATGAAGATTCTGAGAGCAGGTAATGGAAGTTTTATTTCTTGGCAAGATGTACTCTACACCATCTGTAGCACATGCTTATGCAAATCTGCAGGATAACCTATCTTTGAGGAAGACAATATATAGAGACAGATGTCTCAATCTCCCCCAACTCTTCTGGCTGACATGACAGCTACAAGGAAATCGAAAAAAGAAAGGGGTAAGAATCCAGCAGCTGACTCATTACAAACAAATTTAAATCCCCCTGTACACTGTATTCATGTACGTCTCCACTGAATCAATTCCTGTCAATAACTTATCAACAGTGGGATATGAAAACAGAAATCTGAACAACTGCAGGATAGCGAGCTGACACAGCTGCCAGATAGATTTTCATACAGCTAGAGGAAGGGCGAATCTAGCAGACACCTTCTAGTTACTGGCAAGAACAATTTACAACACAAGGGAGTGCGACTGGTCCATTACCAAGAATCATCTGTCATCTATACTGAAAAATGATGAACTTGAGAGCACGCTGAAGGACTTAGCCAGATTCTGAAGACAGCAGATCCAGAAGAGTCAGAATACTCAGATACTGAACAGACAGTGAAGGAGATCCTGGAATCAGCACTGCCACAGACAGGTTAGAACAAATCCAAATCACCAGCGCTCTCTCTGAAATGTGAAGAGATTCTATGGAAACAAAGGGATTGGAAGAAAAATATATGGCGGAAGTCTGCTGACTACAGGAAGACACGAGATCTCAGGGATCCCAAGCTGCTGCCTAATCTCAATGAGAACTTGTGATGCTCCTTGATGTCAAATAAGTTCATTTTGACTATTCCTGCTTGAGGAAAAAATCCCCCAGAACAGTGGACTGGACTTTGGACTCATGATCCAGAATCTCAGACTTGGTGAAATAATCTGCAAGATCACTGAAGGCACTAAGATGAATCACTGAGCTATATCTCATTGGTAATTTCTAATCTCCAAGGCTTCAATATCTCCTGACAGAACCAGCTTCCTCATGTTCTCTCTTGCTGGTTAACAGAGCGGACACTAATGGAAATCATCTGTATGTGGGAGGAAGGAAGCAGTTTGCTGTCTATAGACACTGCAAAAGGAAACATTTCCAGTCTGACGTAGCGTGGTGTGTACACACACACACACACACACACACACAGACAGTGTGATAAAGTACATGTGAACTCTCTTAGAGCAGTGCCCTGACAAGTACAATTTCCCTTGGCTTTCTTCTTTAATACAACACAAAATGAAACTGATGCATGCCCTGTCTGAATGACTACTCCATAAAGTGTTCAGAAGCTCCTGTCACGCACCCGCCAAAATGTAACGACTGTGTTTTTGGAACTTACCAAGTGAGGCAAGAATCTCCAGGGTCCTCATTGTGGGTTGGATATAAAACCAGAGTTTCTGCAGTGACAGAAGACCCTGTCTCTGAAGATGTTCCAGCTGGGTAATAAGTATCATGTATTCTTTGATTAGGGTCCGCATAGCCGCAGCCAAAGCGTGATTTACCTGTCCATACTCAAAGGAAGACTTTTCCTCTACAAACCTGCAAAATGAAAAATGGAAACTCTTTTGGGTTAGGCAATTTCTATAGTTTTCAGGAACTTTATCTTTAGGATATTGCATAAGCCTTGAGAGTACAACCATGTATTGGAAAGCACACCAGCCTTCTAAAGGAGTTTCAGGTGCCATATTTGCTCTCTGTCTCCCTGCCTATTTCTTATCATTGCATTTCCTAGTTTTGAAAGCTACATGAAAATGCTTCCTCTCAAATCACAGGGCATCTTGAATTATTTGCAAAACCAGTAAACAAAAAGTCCGAGTCAGGTTTTGCAAGCTGATTGCCTTTGCATATGCAACATATTAGAGGACAGGAAAAGATCTCAAAAGGAAGCAATGTGGTAGATCCAGCTGCTGGAGAACTACTGCTAGCTTCACTACTCAATATGCCACAGAGGGGCTTCACCTGATTAGATTTAGATGGTTTCATCTGTATTAGTGGAAAGAGACAGATGCTGCTGAATACAGTTCATCTCATCTGGAGGAACACAGGTAAAAGATTAGACAAGTCATTTCCTAAAAATGCTTCTGTCTTTTTGCTGACCTTTTAGGGAGTTTAGATCAGATGCATACATCTATATTACAAGTATCTGCTGTTAGTGAGGTGCGCCTCACAGTACCAGCCCCTAAGGAGTAGTAAGTCCTCTTGCTCTGCAGCATACATGAAAGTTGTTTCAGCCCTGGACACCCAGAGGAAAGCAAAAAGCAGGAAACAAGAAGAAAACCACAGCAGAATAGGAAGCTATAAGCCAGAATAAACAGACAGATCCTATTTGCCACTTGCCTTAATGTACCAAGACACAGCTTGGAGAAAACAAAGGTGAGGTGAACACAAAAATGAACTGGCAGCACAGAGGAGAAAGCCAGCAACAAGAACCATAACCATAACCATTTTGAAGAATTGTCATTTTTATTTGATATCCCAACAGATTTAAATTAAGCTTTGAAGCTACCACATGCACAAATGACAGATTCTCTAGCTCCATTCTACATCACAATGCTGAGAAGAGAATATCCTCCTATATGAAAAAATGTCAGCTGGGTACCTGGTGACAGCAGAGTAACTTGCTGCTACAGGAAGAATCCTGGTCACCAGCTCTTTGATGGACAAGTCCAAGTTCGGATCGACTAAAAATGCTCGGTTCTGCCTGCCTATGAGAGGCTGTGCTGTGATGTATCTTCCATCCACACCAATCAAAACGTATAGCAAGTCCTCCACAATCATGGATTCTTGGGATGCTAACGGTAAAGTACCTATTTGAAAAGAGAGGACAAAAAAAGAACACAATCTGAACATGCCATAGCACTTCCATTCACTCCCTTTTGATCTAGTGCCTGAAACTTGAAAGGAAGACATACCATCATTCAAAAGAAGATTATGCAAAGCTGAACCGAGATACAGAGAAATAAACCTGAGTTAGGGTCAATTTCAAAATCATCTGCCTTGCTTTCTAGGAGAACAGAATCCTTTGTTCATTTGTATTGGAAGTAAACCAAGCAGAGAGGGTTATACCTCCAACATCTGTGACCAAGGGAACGTCACCCACTGCTTGTACACGGCTCATCCTTCCATCGAAATGGGCTCATTTATACTAGATCTGAAGAGATCCAATCTTGTCTCAACAATTTCCCATATTTTTCCTCCGCTGAAATATTGCAAATACAAAGAATACAACTCAAGTACAGAAACAAAGCAACATTAGCCCAGCAAATGCGACAGCTGAACGTCGAGCTATAGACTCTCTGAATGGTGCAATCAACTACAAACCAGCTGCAAAGAAGCAGGCTGGATTGATGAATGCTCTTTTGGCAGGTACTACTACAGATTTTTTAGCTGAGGAGACAGATGTGATACTCCTACAGTAGGGCTTTATGAAGGCTATGACTCAAGACAGGAAAAGGACGGAGAAACTCAAAATACACATTAGATCTCACGGATGGATATCGGGCTGGAATTCTTTACAGAAGAAACTGGGAAGAAAATAACAAGGCTTTTTTTTTTCTGAGCCCTGCACTACTTCTGCAGAATCCAAGGAGCCAAATTTTACTTTCCTCGGGAGTATGATGAAATCCAAATGCCAGTTCTGAACAAGTACAAAAAATGAAACATTACTGCAATTTTCCCTGTGCATCACATACCTATAGGTACCGTTGTGTCAGTGCTTAAACTGGTGCCAATTAGGAAATCACCAATAAGTGCAGGTCTCTCATACACCCAGGATGGAAATACTGGAATGGGCTGACCAGAATTCTTCTTGTTTTGTTTATCTCGGAGCATTTTTCGTGTAACCTCAAGAGGCTGTTGGAAAAAGAGAGAGAAAGAAAGAGGGAAAAATACAGACATCTTTGGAAGTCCAAATTGAAATTTTTGGGGTTTTAAACGGAAATTGACTGTAAACTGATCACTTGAGAACAGAAAGTGGAATTGCTGGTCTTTTAGTAGCACGGTATAGGATTTGATCTTCTAGTACCATCTAGTCTATTGGTCCCAGTGCTGCAGAGCTCACTGGTTTTTTTACGTAGTTGTCCTTCCTTTACCTAAAAAAATGGTTTGGGGGATACATCAAACAATGCCTTTCTGCAATCCTCCCCAGCAGTCTAGGTGCTACAGGACACATACAAGAGCCGAATGGGGACATTCACAAGAACTAAGCAGCAAGCTTCAATTTAGGAAGGCTTCATAGTTTACGAAGAGTACCATATTAAAGCCAGCAAATACTTCTAGAAGCAGCAGCAGTAAAACCTCATGCAAAACGCGCTTGCAGACAAGCTAACAAACATCCCTGAACTCAGTTTCTACACAGTGTCTATCGTGTAGATGCATGTGAAATGTAACCCAGATAATCCACCCAAAGATAGCTGGAAGATGACTGTGGTTTTTACTCTGAATAGGAGTCAGTGAATGAAGTGAGCTCTCAAAAAACCAAATGGCTCTGGGTCTCAGTCAGTAAAATAAATGGAGTATAAGGTTAATTACCAGGCAGCAGAGGCCCATGAGAGCTATAATCTACACGAACAACCACAGCCACAAGCGCACAAGCATGGGAGACACGCTTATGAATGTCATTCTCTAAGCTCCACAGATGTGTACGTGGAATCAGATATGCACAGGGTCATTTTACTTTCTCCTCATATGTCCCAGAGGAGAGAGGCGTGTAGGAAGGAAGCGAGCGTACATGCGAGTATTGCATCTTAAAGGATGGTGCTCTTCTGTGTGAGTTTATTCACGCTATGGCTGACCCCAACCACGTTCCATATTCTCAGAACTGTGCACAGTTTGGTCTTAAAATCCTCCAAACAAGCATCAGTTGTGGAACTGCTGTCCAAAGCAACACCAGTTTTGGGCACCTCTGTCGCAGCCTGAATGCCAGCAGAATACTGGTATAAGGTCCTTAAATCAGAGAGGCACCCACACTCATGGCCTGACATGAGCTTCGACTCAGAGGTGTCGAGTTTAGGGCTCCTTAAAAAAAAAATCTTAAACCTCTATAGTGGGAAAAATACTCATCTGTTTGTTGACGCGATATACAGCGGTTGATTTGTCCATCGTGATCTGGACTCACAGGCATTGGCTACAGGATGAAAACATCATGTGAATTTTCTGTACCACCTTGTGCTTCATTAAGAAGCTCATTTGATGACCTTCATTGAGGCCATTAAAGGAAGACCTGAAAAGGAAGCTCTCCCAATTGTGCTGCTCCTCTGAACACAGCTGCATGAACATGCCTCTCCTCAGGAGAAGGGCAGCCACTATCACACCTTTCCAAATGGCAAGGAGGTTGCACGAAAAACTCCTCAACAATTGGATAGATCTCACAATCACAACATCTCCACGAATAGTTCACACCTACGAGACAGGAGACTGAAAACATCTAAGTCCAAAACCTTTTGAGGTATCATGTTAAGTATGGGAGACCATACAATCTAACAGAGATAGGTAAGATCTTGACATGGTGTTTGAATTGAAGACTGCGCTACAAAACAGAGCTAGTTCAGTGAAATGCACTATATGAAAGCTGCATCTCGGAGGTCCAGAGACATGGAGAAATTCCCATCTCCAACAGCTGAAAGGAAATCAGATCCTTTCACCTTCACTCAGACTGAATGTGCAGAGGTTCTCGACAAAGTGTCACAGCGTGCTGTGACCCAGGCGTGCTGGAACTTCTGTCCCTGTGAGCTCACAGTCTACGGGCTGCAGTGTGATCGGGCTGTGGCTGTAGCCCCTAACAGAAAGGCAGGAGCTGAGGCTTATTCCTTTCAGTGATCATGAAAAGGATCAACGAGAATCCCTGAAAGGGACCCACAGCCTTCTTAATCCAGCAACTGACTCTTCCTTACTCATCCAAAATCCTCAAATGATACAGTAGCTCAGCCAGGGATCTCTGCTTTAAAGTGACAGATAGAGAAGTCATACTGGTCACATCTACTGCAACTGAGCAACACGTTCCTGAAACCAGCTGTGCTTTTGAGAAAAAGATAGAAATATCATGCTAGCTACCAGCAGGGAAAAAGTTAGCAAAAGATTTTGTCCTGCAGCTTGTCAGGGGCTCCAATTTCCAAACTAACAGTGTGAAGCAAATAACATACCCTTTCTCCCACAACTAGATACATAAAGGTCTTATCACAAACCTGCAGGATTGAGCTTTCACCAATACAGCTGACATAGGTCATAGAGGAAATTCTCATTTTTAGGGACCCTGATTTCCTAGTGATTCTCTTGGATGACAAGAGGCAGGGATCTTCTACTGGAGTTTAACTAGCTCCAGTGTGAATTTGTTAACCGGCAGAGTTTAAAAACGTTGAGACAGTATGGGCTATTAAGGATACCGCTATGTGAAAGGGAGTATGTAAGTTTTACCATTTCAGCATTTCAGTGATTTTTGGGCCAAAACCAGCCCAATGTCCTCCTCAGTACACAAAAGAAGCAACTCCAAGCAGCGAGCGATCACTGGATGAGTAATCACAATGCAGGTGGCCAAGCACTTCTGGCATTGGCGATAAGGCATATGTCTCAAGGGCATGAATCACCTCCTCTCTGCAACCGAAAATTTAGTCAGTACAGGATTCAATGACAGCCTGGATAAAACTTCTAGGATTGAAAACTTGGCCCTCAGGTGTCAGCCAGCTGCTTAAAAGCCTACATGATAAGATGGCAGTTTGCCACTGTCAGGCCGATGAAGGCATTGGTATCTTAAGCAATGACAGTGCCCACATCCATCAACAGAGAGAAAGAGCTCATCGTTGCGCTCAGTGAATGTCAACGGAGTCAGTGAATGCGGTGTCTCTGCGCCACAGCCTTGGTGCCAAGGAGGGCAGACAACAAGTGGATTTATACCGAACCCAGAGCACAAAGCCAGTGAGGAGAGGTGGAGAGAGCTGGGCTTTGCTGGGTCTGGACAAGAGAAGGTGCAGGGGTGATCTAGGAACAGCATGTGACTATGGAAACAGCAAGTACCAAGATGATAGATGGAGCCTAACTCTTGTCTGCAGTGACAGGTGATACAAGAGGCAACAGACTCAAGCTGCACCTTGGGATATTCAGACTGGACAAGAGGAAACAAGTCTTCTCTGGAGCCGGAAGCACCTGTGGGACAGGCCAGGGAAGTGAGGCATCTCTGCCCTGGGCTGCCTCAGGCCTCACTCAGATGGGCAAAGCCACAGGGTGGGTGACAGTTCTGCTGCGAGCAGGAGGCTGGACTAGAAACCCCTAGAAGTTCCTTCTACCAGCGCTGCTAAAAATCCGTGGAAACACTAGCACTTATCCTCCAGGCCAGGTGAAGATACTGCCATGAGGATCACAAATACAGAAGCTCAAGGGAGATGCTCGCATCCTTCAGTATCAATTATGGTGACAAGGATCATTCCAGAGACTCTGCCAGTACACAACCAGGCTTCTAGAAAGGAGATGTAGTTGGAATGATTTTGGCAGGTGCTGGAGAAATGAGTTAACTAAATTCCAGTCAGACTGGTGAAACTTAATTGTAATAGTGGGTGTACTGGAGTCACAGATGGCTAGGATAGCACTGGGAAAGCAACTTTACCAGTCTGACTGTTGTCTTATAGAGCTAATGGTAAGTGCAATGGCAACTATTACCTCCTAGAGAGAGACCTCTTGGGAAACAGCTGTAGTAGAAACTCTGCAACAAGACATGTGATCTGATATGGCCACACTGACTCAATGGCCTGAGTGCCAGGCCTTTATGGCCTTTTCTCAGAGGTCCCGCTCTCAAGCTCTAGGCCTGAAGAAAGTACAAATGGAAAAGCATGGAGGCACAAATCTTTTTAATGAAACAATAGAAGATAGCCAGTGAGCAGTATCTGTAGAATCCAGCCAGCACAGTAAACTAAGGCTGAGAGGTGGTCAACAGTGAAAATAAAACATGCTTTTGCTCCTCCCTTCTTTCTGTTCAGTGCACAGCAAATTTATAATAGAGTGCTTGCATTTCCATTTCAGTTCCTCTCAGTCACAGAACGGTATCTGTGACTCAAAGGAGAAGTATGGGTGGGAAATCAACTTATCTATTTGAACTACATGTGCCAGGGAACACACTTTTCTTTCTTCCTTGAGAAAGTCTGCACACAAATTGTAATAAAGAGATCAGTTATCCTACTGCAAATTTATCTTCCTTTCACGATCTACATCAACCACTTGACTTAGATCAGCGGTGAAGGATTTGGATGAGTTAGGCAGACGACTCGCGGAAACATTTATTTCATAGTCTATGTGGAACATGGCCAGTTTTATCACTGCCTGACAAAGGAGGAGGCACTGGTCTCTCTCCACTTAGAAGTTCAACTCTCCCTCATCACACACATACACAGTCCTTCATGCTGACAAGCCCTGTAGGTGTTTGCTAGGCCACTCTCCATCATCTTGGAAAGGTCCTGGAGATCAGGAGAGGGGCCTGAGGACTGGAAGAAAGCCAATGTCACCCCAGTCTTCCAAAAGGGCAAGAAGGAGGAGCCAGGAAACTACAGGCCTCTCAGCCTCCCCTCCAGCCCTGGAAAGGTGATGAAACGGCTCCTCCTGGAGGTCCTCACTAAGCATCTGGAGGACAAGAAGGTGATCAGGAGTAGTCAGCATGGCTTCACCAAAGGGAAATCATGCTTGACCAATCTGATAGCCTTCTATGACGGAATGACTGGCTGGGTAGATGAGGGCAGAGCAGTGCATGTTGTCTACCTGGGCTTCAGCAAGGCTTTGGACACTGTCTCCCATCACATCCTCCCAGGTAAGCTCAGGAAGTGTGGGTTGGATGAGTGGACAGTGGTGCAGAGTCAACTTGGAGGCCTGTAGCTAGCGGTGTCCCCCAGGGGTCAGTCCTGGGTCCAGTCTTGTTCAATGGAGTCATCGATCACCTGGTCCTCCAGTGAGTGTCCTCCAGGCAGAGTGCACCCTCAGCAAGTTTGCTGATGATACTAAACTGGGGGGAGTGGCTGACACACCAGAAGACTGTGCTGTCACTCAGAGGGGCCTTTTACAGGCTGGAGAGCTGGGCCGAGAGGAACCTCCTGAAGTTCAACAAAGGCAAGTGCAGGGTCCTGCACCTAGGCAGGAATAACCCCATGCACCAGGACAGGCTGGGGGTTGACCTGCTGGAAAGCAGCTCTGCAGAGAGG